ACGGTCCAATCTTTTCGACCTAAGAACACAACACAGCACAATCGCCGCTTCCTTGAGAACTGTACCGCTTGTGTCCCATCTGTCTTGTAGTCGGTTTATTGAGGTTTGAACCGTGAAGATCCTGGTTAGGATTGGTCTTCAGCAACTCATGATTGTCCTGAGAGGCGACTAACGGGATCGGGTGGTGAGGCTCGCTGACTTGGTTGACACATGTCATCGTATCCCAATTGCTTAGATCGATGCTCTTGCTGTTGATCACTGCATTGTCTGGTCCAGACTCGATTATTTACAGACCACCGCTATAGCTGGAATATTGCTGAGTGCAAAACAACAAGCACACAAACAAATATAGATAGAGCTGTGGCCCTATTAGGCCATCGGCCTCTGGAAGTCCCATCCATATTTGGAAGTGCCCATTGATGTGAAGTTTCACTAAAACCTGCACATACGCATTATTTATAGTCACAGATATGATCACAAATGCCTAATATTAGTAGCACAGCAGAATGTTCAAGTCCTAATGGTGGTTCGGTTGAGAAGAAATCGTAGAAGTTTCACAGTGCGAAACCAGCTTCTTCATAATGTAAAAATCTGCATACTTATTAGCGTTATATGGTGTAATATTCACATCTCCACGAATAGCAAGGCATGTGCTGTGTAATTCCGATACAAATACAAAGATAAGAACAAGAAATCGATGTAATGATATAGCATATAGGTATGATAGTGCTTATTCTCGATGCAAACACCTGGTGCCGTCACTGATTTTCAGCGAACCAGTCGTGACATTTTCACAACCATTTTGCCTTCACCCCCAGTGCACTCGGCGGATATTCACAACTGATTGTTCTCAGGAAACTATATTTTACGATGCAAGTGCCCTTTGAAATAATATGTTTACATATTAGAGGAGATGAACCAACGTTTAGAATTGATGTATCAGATGTGTTCATGTAATGACTGACCTTTTGGAAAAATATGTAGAACAAGATACCTCGTGCCCCACATCTGCTTTTGTTCAGTCAGATGGTCGTAATTCTTTATTTCAGTTCTTAATCATGTTATTACTTCTCAATATACAAGTAGAAACGACATAAAACAAGAGAGGTCATATATAGTTTGACAGGTGGCCAAACATTTCCCTTGTCATACTCCGTCCTTTCCAGGTACTCGTTTGTTCATAATTCAACTTTCTTCTGTAAATAACTGCTAATGGCTTAAATGGGAGCTACAAGGCGATATTGACGGTGAATAACGTCATAAATCATGTCTGATACATTATCGACATAAGCTCTAAAACAGCACGGGTCCTAACATCGAACCTTGACGACTCCAAGTCGCTCTACAGACAATAAGTATCCATTTATCACAGTTGAATCCCTTCTATCATGCAAATAACATTCGATCGATTTTTACTTTCGTACCTTTTAATCCAATTTCGGCTTATTTGTAAGCCACTCCTATATGCCAAACACGGCCGACTTCCGAGGCCCGTTTGATGTTTCAGCAATAAACGTATTCAAATTTGTTAACTGGTATTCTGTTGCATTGCATGCTTTTAACATGACAAGAAATGAGCTTACCTAATTGTCTTAAAGTGGTTGAATGAACCACTACTTTGCATTTGATGCATTTGAAATGCTTTGATATTTGATAAATAGCGGGTGAGAGCAAGTGATGTATTGCTAAAGCAGCTTCATCTCTTTTTTTCTTATCATTAACCATCGTATGCATGCTGAACAAATAAGTAATTCATAGAATATGGCACAATTAAGGTGCAATACATATTGATTTCTTGGACTTGTTGAAGTGATCGTTTTTATTCTTTTAAATACCAAAACAGTGGTTCGTTAAGTACTCTAATCATGAAGACTTAGTCCTTTCAAAAATATACTGAAAATAAACGGAAATGGCAACTGTTTCCAAAGATACAATTTTAAAGGTACAATTTGACACATTTTCGAAAATATTTTGACCGATATTATATATATTGGGGCATATGCACTCACTTTAGCTTCCTATTGATGCAAAAAAAGACTTATTATACCTTACGACTTGCCTGAAATCGACAATTGAAACTTTGGGGCGAACAGGATCCAAACACAGAACACTTGCCATGTATGGAATGTAAACAGAGAGAGAATGTTTATCGAACAATTGTTCCGTACATCGCAAACTGTCGCACGCGGTGTTTGCCGAACTGGTTGCGCGTATGTTTTTGCACCAGACATTAGCGTCTGCTTCTAGGACTGAGGTCTGTGTCCAAAGGAGTTAGAGGATATTCGTAAAGAGCGCTCCAAGGGACATAACTCTATAGGGTTCGCCTGAAATAATGTTCGGCCGATAGAGGGCGCGAGTCGATTTAATGCAACGATGCATTAATTTATTCGAACTTTTTAATTTAATATTATAATATAAATACGTAATTGTTTTGAATAAATTATATGGTAGCTTCACTGATAGTATTATTGAGAGAGATGCCTTATTTTTTTCAGAGAAGTGTGGTGTGAAATAGTGCCTTTAAGGGAAATGAAAATCTATGTCCTAAAACTAATTGAGCCCTAGATAAGCTTGTAATAAATGTGTCATCCTTTTGATGGATTGTGTCCAACCGTGGTCCTCCTTGTATAACTACTGTTTTCTGTTTCCATCATGTTATTTTGCTCACGAGACGAGCACATCAACTTCAAAGCTTATGTCTTACCCGTTGGCCAGTTTGAAAATGCCACACGTCTAAATCACATAACTCCAAGGTTACCGCTGCCATGGACCTGATGATATTTCCTATTTTGCAAAGGGTGTGACAAAGACCGTGGTTTTAACTCAGCATTTCCTACTGTCAGAAACTCAAAAGACGATTGCTAATTTTCATGTTGCCTCGAACACAGTCTGTTGCAATACAATGCGTTGGAGCTTGGATTCATTTACTTATACTGTTTCTATGTATCCGGGCAGTGACTGTTGATTGGTTGGTTGGTTGTTGTTTAACACCGCACCCAGCAACATTCCAGCTAAATTTATATGGCGGCGGTCTGTAAATAATCGAGTCTGGACCAGACAATCCACATATCAACAGCATGAGCATCGGTCTACGCAACTGGGAACCGATGACATGTGTCAACCAAGTCAGCGAGCCTGACCACCCGATCCCATTAGTCGCCGCTTACGACAAGCATGGGTTACTGAAGATCAATTCTAACCCGGATCTTCACGGGTCCAGTGACTGTCAGTCAGACTCTATATGGCCATGGTATTTTTCAAATACAGACATACAAATACCATTTACTATTGTTCTGAATAAGTTCCATGTTCTAGCCTTAATTTCATGGTATAGGAACGTGGGGACCCGCAGACAGAAATGTGTTACTGCCTGTTATTACATGTTCTTTCATAAAGTCGTATGGTAACCGTATTTAAGATTAATTATCTTATTCATCTCACTTGTTATTTAGTACCAAGGATTTACGTTTCCAGTTCTGTTCACTTAGCTCTTAAAAATATGTGAAACATATTTCAGCTTGTCATTGTGATACCTTTCATCCAATTTACCGTTAGTGGCACATGACGCTGATGAAGTGATGTTACTAACACGGGGAGATGTGTAAAGCACATAGCATATCGCATAGCGCGATGGTTAATGTACACCAATAGTGCTTTCTCAACTCCCTGGGGAGTATGCCTGACATCCTGGGCCAAGGTAGATCTGCTCCAAATTTACGTGTTAGCGTTTAGTAACATAACTGTAATGGACCTGGCATCAACTAGTATCCAACCCCATATTGCAAAAAGATCTTTTAAAAGATGCATATTCGAAGAGAACACGGTAATACTTCTAGGTGTGATATTGCATTTGATACAATATTTCTGTTCCATCAGGTGATACGACTAAAGGTTACACATTGAAGTCATAACTATAAAATACATGGTAACAGAACATAGCAACCAAACGCTTCATTGCCTCAATGTTATTATCGGCGTAGCTGTACTTAGCGTTAGCCTGACGATAAGCAATAAATCCTGTGCTGTATTGATTCGTGCTTGTACAGACAAAGTGAAGACACACTGGTAATGTACGTACATGATAGAAGACAAGGGTTTTAAGAGATGACAAAGAAATTACAGAGAAGTAAAAGAACACAGAGAAAGAACAGCACACCTGTCGCCGTGTTTTGGAAAAAAAGGTCATACCGCATTGAGAAGTGATTACTTTGCGTTACAATTCAGTGTAACATATGTATGGATGGCATTCGAGAAAAAGCAAAAGTCTGAAATCATTGCCTTTGGCTACTTTGAATTTTGTTATGACAGAAATAAAGATTGGTTTACCACTGGAAATTAATGCTATAATGTTTGGTAGATGAAAAGTAGAAACCATCTTTAGAATGGTGCTATGTTTTATGAACAGATTGTTCAAGCATATGAGGGCGTTGCTGTTATTCATTCACATTCAAATTCTAAGCTCATTTAAACATCAGATATATGTTATGAATTTCCAGATAAATGAATACCATACATGTGAACCTGGTCTGCATGTATATTTGAATATAACACTAATGTTGCCCTTAGAGTACAGCGGGTATTGATGAGAACACTACGAACTATATTCAAGAAATGCAACATCTCTCTGTAAACAGTAAAATTAAAATTCCGCGGAGTATGAATGAATACATTTCGAATAAATAGCATATAAAGAAACTGTGATTACATGGTGTAAGAAACAGAATATTACAAAAACAATGCATAGAAATAAGGAAATGAGAATGCCAGTGAATATTTAACAGATAAATTTTTATACTTTCCATGTACTGTTTCAACTGAGTTCTTACGCCAAAGAATTTCAATTCGTATTACGACCTTTTTTTACGAACACGGCGCATCGTGAGCTGAACCCACCTTCCTTGTCTCACTCAGACCTGGCGAGCTTCAGTGGAGTTGGGGCTGGGATGACCTGAGGAGGTACGAGGTGTGCAAGGGACGGTGGTGACGTCAGTACGGCTTACCTGTGACGACGCACTACGACGTCGGTTGCTGAACCGGAAATAACCCCTGAGGCGATCTTTTGTCGCACTCGACATACTCCAAGATGCGAAGAGAATTGGATTCGTGCACGTTGAGAGGAAACCGAACCACGTGAACGTGATGTACGTGACGTCGTAGTGGCCCTGGTTCTCGTCGTTTTCGTGGACGAAGTAGTGCACGAGGATCAGGATGTGCAGAGGGCACCAACACATCGCGAACAATGTTGTCATGGAAATAAGGTAGTTTTGCGTTCGCTTTTCCTTCACCAGATCCAAATCGTCGTCACTGTCTTGCGTTGCCCGTTCGTTGTAGGATTTGACCTGCGGTGGAGTCGGCTCTGCCGCTGCTCCTACCTCAGATGATGTCGACGTCGTGGCTCGGTTCTCTCTCGGCCAGGCTAGCGAAGATTGGTAAGAGTGATCGGGTATGTTCCGAAGGACGTCGCTTCCGTTGGAAGCAAAGTGAATGGATATAGAAGCAGACTCTCGGGACTTGATTTCCGCAGATACCCGAACATACAGAAAAGCTATAATGGCTAGAGGCATCGCGTATAACGTAACAAACATAGCTCGTATGTACTCTTCAATTCGTCTCTCAAAATACACGTAACAGATCCCGACGCCGTTAAATCGAGCGCCCAACGATGCACCTAAGTCAATGTACTTTATATATACGGCAAAAGGCAACACCACACACACTGCAACTACCCATACGGCGATCGTACACAGGCCGGCAGGGAGGCGAGATTTAAAGGGGGTGGACTATTGTCCTGTAACGGTCTATGGCGATCATGAGAAACGTCATCATTGAAGCGTACACGGGAAAGCACTGCATCATTGGCAAGAAGAAACAGAGGAAACTTCCCAAGAGCCAGTTCTGGATCAACAAATTCGCAAGTGTTATCGGCAGCACAAAAATACATTTGATGAGATCTGCAAACGCCAGGTTTCCAAGAAGGAAAAATGTCTGGTCGTGGTAAAGTTTCCTCTTGCCAAGAACAATTAGCATGATGATGTTCCCAACAATTCCGACCACACCCACGACGGCATGGAGAAACATAAACAAAGGGTACACATACCGAAGCGATCGCCGGACGTAAGGTTGGCCGAAGTCAACTGTCTCGGTACTGTTATTGTCTACAAGCCATCGAAGAATGAGTTCTATATACGTCTCTCTCGATTCTGCAAGTGCCATGATTGTTTGATGTTTGGTTTTCTGTCAGTCGGTGAGATGGAGTCGTCAATCAGATTTTGTCATTTGGCAGCAACGTTCAGCATGGTGTTTACTTCACGTCGTTTGCGGAGTGTTCGACAAGTATTTTTCTCCCATTTATTACATTAGGCAGCTGGAAAGATTCCGACTCCAGCACGGCTCCAGTTACAGAAAATCAGTGGCTTCTAACACGCGGCTGTTCAGATCAGTGCATTTGTAGCACTTCAACCACCAATGAATTATTTCGGGTGAAGCAGGCGACAGTTTCCGTTACATAAACTGAAGTCCTGACAGCGCGCAGCCTGCCAAGCTATTGGATCGCCACGCTGCAGCCTAAACACTCTGCCTCAACTCAAATGGATTTCGCCAGGTTCATTGAATAACAGAATACGACTGTGCGTAGGTTTCATGTGACGGCGTATGAATGGTGAGTTGATGGCTGAACGTCTCTATAATTCTGATGTGTTAAACGGCAATGGAGTACCTGCTGTGAAATTGTTTCTTTACACACAGAGGTACTTTACTGTGGCCTGTTATAGTTCTCAGTCAAAAACCCCCCATCTGGGAAAGAAATAGAATCAATATGATAAATATTCTCTTTTCCGTTCATCCAATTTCAACTGACTTGTTTTCTAATGTTGTCAGACACGATGGTTTCTAGGATATCCTCAACACGAAAGCTGGTCCACAACGACTGGCGTTGAAGGCACTTCACATTCCTTATAAAGCAACTAAAACGCCATCTCCTCTCCGAAATTGTCCTGGTAGTCCGTCGTTATCAAAATATTCTAACAAGCACTCAAGCAACCTTATCATGGAATAATTGTATCAGTCACTTCAACAAGACTCCTTCATCATATGGACTGTCAAACCAGAGACCTGAGTAGAAGGAAACGCAATAAACTAGCCAATAAGGCATGAGAGAAGACCATACTCTATTATGGAGTCAGTAATCCTTAAGACACAAACACTCTCGGCTCCAGTGTCGTATGCTATTGAATTGGTCCTCGCGACACCTGTCCTGTCGTTGACTGACAGGCTATATCGTCGTCTGCCCCTCATGCGGTATTGCCCGGGCAGATGTCATTAAGAAGCCTTGTTGCCCGGGCGATTCTTGTCACAATATCCAAATCTCTGTGTCTATAGCAGCGACGCCTTTGATAAAACACTCCAGTACGGTGTAATTACGAGTCGATAACGGTGTATCCCTCCTATTTCCAGAGCGGCTCCTTCGTTCAGGTTGGAGCAAGTCTGATCTTTCGTTAGAACCAGCTCTGGACCAGGCGAATCACAAGGGTGTCGATAGACGAGTTGCAGGATTAACAACACAATTGGAAAGGATTTCCCCCAAGACGTCACGAACCATCTCTGCCGGCTGTGAACTGAAAGAAAGAAGGTTTCATCGATGAAAATGTACAGAACTTACCCATGCATGTTTGACATTTTCACGACACTGCCCACACGTTAGGATACAGTTCTCGACATAAAGGAAAACCATTAGAACCAAGAATAGCCCCTTGACCTATTCTTACATGATCTCCATCGTCAGGCAAAGACTTGATCCTTGCGCTGTTTCAAGTCACATCGTAATTATAAATCTCAGTGTGGCTCCTTTTTCTCAAACCAGTACGAAGGCAGGCGCTAGTAGCTTTCAATATTGATCTATAGCAACTCTGTAGGAATAATCATTATCACGGGGGCCAGTTCTTAACCGTGGTATCAGAGCTAGTTCAAAGGTGACAAAACCGGCCAAATACTACTGACCAAGGCCTACCTCTGTAAGCTTGCTATAAGAACCCCTTGGAAAAGGGATCTATATGTCGGCGGCGGAAAGCTACTGTGTCACTTCTGTTGCCGCGTCAGGCAGTGTACGTAATTAGAAGAACTGTATCGATCCGCGGTCACGTGACTCCAGAGCGGCAGCAGTGGCCTGCTTGATGATCAAATAAAGCCTGTTATGACCCGTCAATTGTAGTTTGTGACAATCTAATCAGCTGATAGAAATAGGACAATGTTCAAACACATAAGACATATACCGAATCCATTTAATTTATAACAAATAGTTTCATTTATGGAATCACCTATAGTCCGAATGGCGCCCTTGACAACCAAGGTAGTATTCACGATGCCACAGCCGAGCGAGATAAGTATACCGTTTTGCTTGTGCCTTGAATGAAGAATACGGGAAACAGCGAATTACTTCGATCTGCGTCTTTCATCAACACGACCATGTTACAATATCATTATCGACTTTTGTGCAGTAAACACCTCCTTATTGATGAATTAAAGGAATCATATTTGTCTTGTTTCGATCTAAGAAATAGAATTTGACCGAGTTCTAGTACACGTGTTTTGTTGGCTATTGTGGCCATCCGATCTTCAATCAAAGCGCCCCTTTGGGCAAGTGTTCTTTCTCTAAAGGCAGTTATTACATTGGTGGGGCGGTAGGGTGGCCTAGTAGTCAAAGCGTTCGCTCGTCACGGCAATGACCCAGGTTCGATTCCCTTCATAGGTACAATATATACAGCAGATTTTTATTGATACTGCTGGATTACTGCTAAATGGGGGCAGTGGGGTAGCCTAGTGGGTAAAGCGTTCGCTCATCGCGCCGAAGGCCCGGGTTCGATTCCCCACATTAGTAAAATGTGTGAAGCCAATTTCTGGTGTCCCCCGCCCTGATATTGCTGGAATATTGCTAAAAGCGGCGTAAAATCAAACTCACTCACTCTATCACTGCTAAAAGCGATATCCGTCGATTTAAAATTTCCTCACTATCTACAACATTGGAGCCCTTTGCAGCCCGGGAACTTTAATGTGATGTGCATAAGGTCAGGTATTAATTTAGGACGTCCAGTCTGTACCATATAGCTGGATAGCTATAGTGAACAGGAATGCCGCATTGTTCCATGTCATGTACAGGGAATATACACGCTCATTATACTACTCGTGAAGCACTAGAGCTAGTACATTATCTGAATACGTCAGGTACAATCAGATAGGCAATATATTTCACAAAAGCCACAGTTTAATATGCCGTAATCAGCAATGTTCCAAAACATTACATACGACAGTTTAAGTCTGGATCAGACAAACCAGTGGTTGAGAACACGGACATAGATTGCCGTCTATGACGCTAGATGCAAAAAGAAGACCCAATGTAATGTGGACCCCTGAGTCTCATCAGTCAGCAAACATTGGGTGACGCTTTTATCCTTCTATAATCCCCATTTTTTAGGACCCGTGAAGATCCGGGTTAGAATTGATCTTCAGCAACCCATGCTTACTGTAAGAGGCGAATAACGGGTCAGGCTCGCTGACGTGGTTGACACATGTCATGGTATCCCATTTACGTTGATCGATGCTCATGCTGTTGATCACCGTATTATCTGGTCCAGCCTCGATTATTTACAGACCGCCGTCATATAGCTGCGGCGTTAAACAACAAACCAACCAACCCAATAATGAGGCGGATCTTGACATAACATACCTGATCAGAGATTATGATGAAGGAAATATACGTAGAGGTGGACATCAATACCGAGAACCGAAAGTGTAAGACGAACATGCGCCCTTTTCATTAATGGCAAGTATTCATTTTGAAATATTACGAATACAGCCTCGCTGGTATTGATTTTTATGGAAACTGACGGAAACGTCTGAAGATGCTCTGAGAAAGACATTTTTAACGTGACATTTCCAAGGCAGACGCAACGCAAAGGCATCAGCGTATCAAACGCCAAGTCGTCACACCGTATTACTGTAAACCTTGCAAAAGTAAAGGCACTGAACTGTAAACGACAATATGAACAAACTTCGACTTCAGTTGTCCAAAGCATCCCATAGGGAGTATACGCCCGACCTTCTACTAGATGGTCAACCTCCACCACCCTAAACCTCCCTTCTTCCCAAACTCACATCACATCACATCACATCTCATATATTACTGAGCAGCAACGCCTTAAAGTACGTAACTAATATACCCACTGAACGTGCATGGTCAGATGTTCTTCCTCAGAGTTTCTTAAGATGTTTAGCTAGACATAGATGATTTCATATTATGGTCCCTAAATTACAGGTATATGGCTGCGACGCACACATTTTGTTCACTAAATGGAGATAAACCAAGACATCCTTGGCATCCTTGACTGTTCAACTTATGACATTCTGGACAGTGGTTTGTGACAGATTTTACAGATTGCAGCTATTGTTGCATATAAACTTAAGGAGGTTCACCCTAAACTAATAATGAAGATCAGACCTCAGAATTTATTTAAGGTGAGTATACTGGTAACAACATATGCGTGCTATATGATATCTTACTTTCTGTAAATCCCAGAAATGTTGCTGCTAGTATCATTTGCAAAGGCAGCTGCTTCTGTCTCTTCATCTTTACCATCTTTTGCCCAAAATTCTTCCCAATTGGGGATAGCATCTTAAAATCGATTTCAGTACTGTGTAAAGATCGTACATGATGCAGTGTCGCCATTGTTAACTTTTGGGAATGGCTGTAGACAAAGATATACTTTACCTCCGTATATCTTTGTGTAATGTGTAGATATTGTAGGCCAGTGTCTCCAACATATTACATATCCTGACACAAAATAAAGATGCATTGAAGGTTGTTGAAACGAGGGAAGTAAAGATAAATAAACTGTTAGTAAACATGACGATGCCGAATAGGTTTTTTTCTGTACAACCTATATTCTGGTACTAAAGCATTAAAACAATGCATTTTATAATAAATAAAAACTATATTATATGAACGCATTTGAACAAAACAATGGCACAAGTACATCTATTATGTAGAGTTTTGTCCCTTTGTCGTGTGGATCAGCTGGTTTAGAAGGTTCGAATCTCAAGATTATTTGCGCTTGAGGGCTTCACCAAGGCGATAAATATCACTTGCATTGCTCTGAGATCTCCCTTGCCTTGCAATCACACTTTCCGACATTGCTTCACAGTACAAACAAACTTCCGATGTAGCAGTGGAATTAATTTAGGGCACGGCAATGACAATACTGTATTGCGCAAGCTGCATTGGGAAACTAACGAGAATCCAATAAACCAATCTACTGGATTACATGTCACACGTGCGAATCCTGCATTATGTAATCTTAATTCCATAAATTATTCATGTCTATATCATTGAATGTAAATTTGTTTTGTTGTTGGCTAATAAGTCTTCTGAACATACGAATAATCAAATTTATTTGATGCAAGTTGAGACTATGAAAGCTAGAGTTATGAGCCTTTCACCTTGAAAAATGTCAACATAACATATTGTAATTGCATAAAGTATTATGAATAATATATACATGGAGGGACTAGAAACAGATGGCAATCAAGTTAGCCACCAGCAAATATGTTTCTGTGATTATCGACAGCAATTTTGTTGTTTGAAAAAGCTATGAAAATTGTAAACATAGAACAATACAAAATGGTGTAGTTAAGGAGATTGGTTGCTTTTGAACAATAATGAGAATGAATATAAGACCTGGGGTTTAGTAAATGGGGACGTTAATTATACATAAGCCATACACTGAAACACATTGGTCACCACGACTAGGATTAGAAGATCAAATTAATCTGTTGTCATCTGAGAACAGAAATGACGATGCTTCCAACGCGGATGACGTCGACACCATAGTAAATGAGCCTTTAATGATGTGGCATCAACGGTGGACAAATTGACGGATGTAGGGAAGGAAGACGAGCAGAATGAAATCTGTTGGTGGCCATGCCACAACGGTAGTTTGTGTTCATTTGTCCCTAAAACTACGTGCTGTAAGAAACCTTTTTCGCAGGCCAAGGTCAATAAGCGCCATCAGAAGATAGCAAGTTCCCCGGCCCTAACTAATTCGAAAGAATAAATCAACCTATAAAGAAAATTCCTTGTGTCTAATATCTCTGTCCGTATAGTTTTTTTTAGCTATTAATATAACAACAAGGAACTGAGATTGGAAAAGTTGTATTTGTGTTTGCATCTGGAAGGATCTGAAGTAGTGGATAGGTTTTATGTCACACAATATTAAACTTCCGCCAATAATTAAAATCAGCGGTTTGAAATTTGTTCAGTGATGGGTTTTCGGTGTGTGTGTGTGTGTGTGTGCGAGCGTGCGTGCGTGCGTGCGTGTGTGTGTGTGTGTACTGATGGAAAAAAGGACGGTTTGGAGATATACTCTATTAAACAATCATCAAACTCTTAAGTTGTTGGCAATCCCCAAGAAGCAACAGACCCCAGATGACATAATCTCGGTGTTTCGGAAGTGTCACGAAAATTATCTATTACCTTTATTGATAAAGGCCAAAGAAACGGAACACTTTCAACAAAGGTCAGTCAAACGTGTTGCTAAGGAAACGGAAAAACGAAAATAAATCCCTAAAGAGCAAAAGACACCATTTGACAACCGGTCTTTGCATGAAAGATTACCTATTAGTTTGAGAGACGGACTGACAAGCTGGTTCCTTTACCGATTGCTTTAGCTCTTCCAGACGTATTCATGAAGTCAGTATTTCAATAGTTCCATGAAATATATATCACGGCTACGAATGACCACAAAGCCCTAACATGAGGATGGCATGTCATCATACGGAGACATATGGACCGTTGCCACCAACCACTGCATATCTCACCCAAAACGTAACCTAGACATTTGCCGTTACACAGTCTTCACTCACTCGTACAGATTGAAAACATGATAACTGACATGTCACATGAAGGTCGACAAGGATTCGTGATGTATTGACGTAGAAAAAACATTTACTTCTCTCATTTCTGATTAATACCAAATGCATCTTTTTTAAAAAAACCCTCTCCAACCTTGAAAAGGCCAAACCTCTGCATACACATGAAGCTT